TTTCAATTCGACATCAATAATCTTGACCCCATAATTTCCATTCCGAGGCGCGTGGGAGGAACGGGTTTTCGTTGCGAACGAGGAGGAAAGTCAACCCCCTTTCCCTTCCACTTGGCCGTTCACGACGCATTCAAAATTCCGCGCCGTGGCGTCGCGTTCTGAATCGAATTAATTCGCGGGCTGTCGCGCGATCCCGATGGCACGTGCCGACATAAAGCAGGATGAAAATTTCTCGGAACAACGCGTCGTGGAATTTGAGAATATCGTGGCTGCCGGTTCGAGGAACGAAAAGAAAGCGAAAGAAAACGCCCTCAAGAGAGAGGAGTATCCTGTCGCACAGCCGTCTCTTTCGTGTCTTCTTTTTATTCACCTTGCCACGACCCTGGCACAAGTTCAATTCGTTCTGGCCAATTGGACTCGGCACTGTGTGAAAGAGAAACCGCTTTCTGTTGAACCATCGACCATTTTCTCGCCAGAACTGTATCGGTACGCGATCTACTACCCAGCCGTGAAATTTGCTTTTTCACTCGCGAACGGTCCTGTGAATGTGCAACTTTGTTACTCTGAACTTTCCGTGTTTTGATAGGTTAGGGTTTTTAAACACGTTTTGACGTTTTGGGATCTTGGGACGTTTTAGAAATATGGTACTTTGGAATATAAACATTCTGGACTTTAAGGACTTTGTGACTCTGGGACTTTGAAATTTTGAAACTGTGATATCTTCAGATTTTACAATACTTAAATGTTACAATACTTGAACTTTAGAGGCCATAATGAGAAACAGAGACCTCGAATTTCGAAACGTTACAATTGTGAAATTGTGAGATTTTTTCAATATTTGAATTTTAGGACATTGAAACTTTGTAAAATATTTCGTTGAAAGCAAACGCATCTCGAAAGTGGATCAATCCACAAAAGTTTGAGTATTCATAGTAAGTGTCATAATAGAGTAAAAATATGACTATAACAAAACTAGTAATATTCGTAAACTTTATCTTTCTGATAATAACATGCAAGGAATTAAAGAAATGTTTCTCTGTTAATATCGAATGGTATCGATATCGATGAATGGCTAATCCGCCACTGTTCCTAATCAAAGGCATTTTGAGTCCCTCGAGCTTCATAAATCGGTGCTGGTGTAATAACGAAGTCGTAATTTCATTCATCGCAAATCTTATCGTGTCTCGGTCGGAATCGAGTTCAACATCCGTTATCGTGAACACCGATGCTCGTGGTTCGACGAAATAACTCACTCCGGGAATTGAATGTCACTCGATCACTGCTATCTGACAGAAAACACATTAGATGAAAATCGAATAGCCACGCTAGGATTTACGGTGCATCGAAATAATATTTCTCGTTAATCCCAACCTGTTCCGCGGCCGTTCATAAATTCTGCACCGTGCGCGTCCAACTCGAAGTGTAATTTGCATACGCGAAAAAAGAACGTTGTTTTTCTTGTTCCTCTTTTTTTTACACGTGCGCTCGCGCAAATAATGCAGGCAAATAATTTTGATCGTCGTATAAATCTGAGCCCAGCGTCGAATGGAACGATCTTCTCCGCTCGGAATTAACATGATTGAACGACGCGGTTATCGTTGTTTTGGTAGTAATAAAATGTCGTAATTCACCGTTCGAAAACAATGCTTTGTACCGCGACGTTTTATATACGAGCCAGCTGATAGTCATGCCAAACAAGAACCGTATCGAAGACGAACGATTTGTAAGCCCTATTATTATTTTCTGATAAATGATGGACGCTTAATGCCTCTTTACCGAGAACCGGCCATTTTGACTTCCGACGTTAGCCTTCATCACTTCGAAATAGAAAAGACAGTATTTATGTACTCTAGTTATTTGCTACCATAAAACCATTTCGATAATATTTAGATGGAAGACAGTTAAATATGGAATCTTAAAAATTCTATGAAGTTTATACAAAAGTAATTAGTTTCTACTTTTTCAATTTTTATAATCAATATTAACTACATAACACTGTCATTTCAGTATTAAAATAAATATTGAAAACCTTGAAATACAAACAAAAATCGAAACATTGATTGTTCACGTTCATAATAGATGCAAAGTCTCATGTTTCAGTTTGCATTAATGATCCAAACTTTTCAAATAAATGATATATCGTGTACCATGCTACAGATTTCTAGTTCGCAATTTATTCAAGGGCTAGTACACATCCAGCGATGACCGAATAATAATTACCGTCAGCAATTTCCGCTGTTCCATGATTAATACGTTTTCGATCGAATCGTTGTGTTTGCTTTGCTGGTAATAATAAATTCATAGCGAGGCCATAATATTTGTGTAGATCATTGATGCGCAAATTTCCGCAAAATTTCTGTTATCCTAACCGTGGATGTAAGCTATATAATTTTTTCGTTTGAGTTAAATGAACTTCTGTTTTTGGTGAAGTCAAATGATTTCCTTTTTCAGTGGGTGGCACCTAAATCGGATGTAACGGTATGATGACGTCAATTTCCGATTGACATTTATCGTACATTATTCCACTCGCATTTGAACTTCATAATGGTTGCTCGTATACGGACAGCTCTGTGACTGTGACATGATTTTAATTACGCTTTTCGCAAAAATTCTTCAGAAATTGTTACGTGAAGTTTCGAATGAAAAATTTGCTTCTTTTATTATTTTTATTACTTATGTGTGTTAGAATATTTTTCTGTTGTATTTAATTCATTGCTCAAAGTAATGATAATGATTGTATCAAACACAATATTTCATAATAAAAACCAACATAACCTAAGATGGTTTGATAACATACCAAAAAATTTTAAAACAAATTTGAACCTAATTTAATTTAAGTCTTTCTTAGAACATTCAAAAGACATAACCTTGACAATATATTAAAAAATAATAAGAATCAATGCTAGTTTCGTTTTTACATCCATCAATGTTTATTATCACAAGTAAGATTTATGATCAACTTATGACCATCTGATTTTTATAAGAAATGCCAAAATTACAAAAGCTCGATGAAGGTTCTTATAGAGGTTACGTTGCTTGGTACATTGGTTAATAAAAAAGAAAAAATGCAACGGAATTTTATAATAGGAGACGTGTATTTACAGTAAGTTTTTGTCGAGTAGAGTCGGTTTTCATCGATTTTTCGTAACAAAAGTGAATTCGATTAAACTGTTTTGCTTACGCAGAGTCACGCATTCACGCACGCACGTTGGTGATTCTTGAATTCCTGCAAGCGTATGCGCATTCCCTGAACAACTTTTACGAACGATCTTATTTATTTACGGTGCGTCGTCGTTGGTGAATGAAATTTCCGAGGAATTGCGGAAAAGTTCCATTAAAATCACTCGAAGACGTGTTACGCTCGTGCGTACGTTGTGACACCGTTGAAAGCTTTAAGATTGCTCTGTGATTCAGCATAATCTTGCGAGGAGACCGGCATGAATTCGATGAATCTTCAAACATGACATTGTTCATCTTAAATACTCGAATTTGTTTGTGTATCGTCGACCGTGCTCCGAGAAAAAGATAAAAAGATACTCCGCAGTTAATCACGTTTTATCGCGTCAAAATTTTCAGAGAAAGAAAGAAAAATATTTCGTCTCATATTTAATGGTGACATTTTTTGTTTTTGAAATGTTTGAAAAATATGAAAGAGTTCTTGTTGGCGTTAAATTTCGCTACGAACCTATCGAACAACAGAATGCAGCTGCAATAAATCACAACACAAGAAAAGCTCTGTTTTTCCGATCGTTCGAATTTATATTCCGCCGAATCGCACGCGAAACCCTGACGGCGTATTTACTCAAAACACAGTTCCCGTTTATTTTACGTCATAAAGCGGCCGGTAACTTCATAAAGCACCGACGGAAAAACACCATAATAAAATCCATGCCAGGACAAACTCGATATTAAAATAACGAGAGCTTGATGGTGTCGGAAGGAAGCGTGAAACGTATTCTTCCACTAACCTTTTCGCGTGTTTCTTTTTCAGGGTGAAGGGAGGATGACAAAAGCTCGATGAAGGTTCTTATAGAGGTTACGTTGCTTGGTACATTGGTTAATAAAAAAGAAAAAATGCAACGGAATTTTATAATAGGAGACGTGTATTTACAGTAAGTTTTTGTCGAGTAGAGTCGGTTTTCATCGATTTTTCGTAACAAAAGTGAATTCGATTAAACTGTTTTGCTTACGCAGAGTCACGCATTCACGCACGCACGTTGGTGATTCTTGAATTCCTGCAAGCGTATGCGCATTCCCTGAACAACTTTTACGAACGATCTTATTTATTTACGGTGCGTCGTCGTTGGTGAATGAAATTTCCGAGGAATTGCGGAAAAGTTCCATTAAAATCACTCGAAGACGTGTTACGCTCGTGCGTACGTTGTGACACCGTTGAAAGCTTTAAGATTGCTCTGTGATTCAGCATAATCTTGCGAGGAGACCGGCATGAATTCGATGAATCTTCAAACATGACATTGTTCATCTTAAATACTCGAATTTGTTTGTGTATCGTCGACCGTGCTCCGAGAAAAAGATAAAAAGATACTCCGCAGTTAATCACGTTTTATCGCGTCAAAATTTTCAGAGAAAGAAAGAAAAATATTTCGTCTCATATTTAATGGTGACATTTTTTGTTTTTGAAATGTTTGAAAAATATGAAAGAGTTCTTGTTGGCGTTAAATTTCGCTACGAACCTATCGAACAACAGAATGCAGCTGCAATAAATCACAACACAAGAAAAGCTCTGTTTTTCCGATCGTTCGAATTTATATTCCGCCGAATCGCACGCGAAACCCTGACGGCGTATTTACTCAAAACACAGTTCCCGTTTATTTTACGTCATAAAGCGGCCGGTAACTTCATAAAGCACCGACGGAAAAACACCATAATAAAATCCATGCCAGGACAAACTCGATATTAAAATAACGAGAGCTTGATGGTGTCGGAAGGAAGCGTGAAACGTATTCTTCCACTAACCTTTTCGCGTGTTTCTTTTTCAGGGTGAAGGGAGGATGAAGAATGCCCCGCGTCGGTGGAGACGGGGGTGGAGGGCCGGAGAAGGCAGGGGGGAGCGGATTCGGAGGATGGCTCGGGGGTGCAGCAAGAGCCATGACTGGGGGAAATGTCGGCGGTGGATATGTGGTCCTTGGTGGCACCCGATATGGTCTCAGACTTTCCCAGGTTAATACCTTTTTAGACATATTTTACCATCTTTAACCAACTTCTGCAAGAAAACTTACTCGATCACTACATTTTAATTCTAGTATTCTGGTCTTATTTGTACATTCAGTTCACGTGAAAACATGTTAAATATAACTAAAAAGTCGTTGGTGTATTCAGATAACTCCAAACACAGAAATGTATAATTATAACAGTTGTTAGTGGACGGTCACTTACTGTACGATCCCGTATCGAACGGTCTTTTAGCGAGCGGTCAGTGAACTGCCTCTACTGTAAGCTCTACTTACATATATATTTTATGCCAGGTTCATGTATTTTAACAACACAAAAGATAATCTAATACGACTGCAGAAATTTCTGAAATTCCAAGCTCCTCAAATACTCCAATATCTGTAGTAGATAATCCGAGCTTAAACAAAGAGCTAAAATAGAGATCCTTTCTAGCTGCACGTTCATGCTTGCCTCGAGTATTGAAGGCATTGTAAATACTGCTCACACGTGGAATACCACGCGCAGGTATTTCGTTATCTTTTCCTTCCTTCGTTTTTCTCTTTTTGAATTTCCATCGTATCGTGTGTCTCGGGACGTGGAACATAAAATGTCAGAATGAAGATCGACACAGACATTTTAGAACGTATCTGGCTATCTCGGTAGGATTTCGAGAAAGGAGATTAGGTGGTTCTACTTTCCAGCATATCCTTCGTAGCCAGTGTTGCATACACAAGCGAGATCTATTTCAGAGGAGTTTATCTACGGCTCGTTCATGGGAAGAAACAGCGTCACCTTACCTCAACGTTATTGTCTCCACGTGGATCCTCTTTGGCACAATAGTTCTTACACACGTACCGCTTGAATCGCATAAAACGATGAGAATAACGATTATGTAGTGTCGTTGACATTTCAGAATTCTAGACAGTCAAGTCGAAACGAGCTTTCTGGGTTTCTATATCAAAGAGAGCACGTTAATGGCTGTTAGAGCTAAATCGTGTCCTCGTTTTCAACGATAAATTTCAAATAAGATTCAAACATGACTTTAATAATGTTTCGTCTTCTTTTTTTGCCCGAGGTTCGTGTATAGTATTTGTAGTACTTTCCGTATCATAATATAAGTGTGATTCGCAAGAGAAAAACTAAATTAGGTGTTCTCTGAACGTGACCGGGACAAGGTGAAATTACCTTGTAGAGGCAGGTTCTACTTCCTACGTTTCGTTTTATGCGGTATCGCAAGAAGTAGCCTTTGAGTCTCTTTATACGCGAAGCCACTTCATAGACTTTATGGTCTCATTTGTTCCGCTGCTTTCGTACTCTGTATTAAACAAGAGAGTGTAAGCGTACCCTGATCTACATACGTAAGAGGTCATTCCTTTCTGTATTGTCGGTTATAAATTAAAAATATTTTGTAACAACCAGTTATCGCTTAATTAATCCAGCATTTTAATTTCATACTTTACAATATTATCATAACACAAATACTATCTTCTGTTTCGTTTTAATTACTCAATTATACAAAATTAAGAGACTTAGTTTCTAGTTTCTTAGTTTCTTCGTTCTGTCTTTTGAAACTCCTTAGATGTACTCCTAGATACCAAACTTTACTTAGACTTTGATTCCTCTGTTTACCACAGGGACATAGAAATTGTTCTGTCACTTGGTACTTCTCGAAACGTGTGTACTGTAGATACCAAAGATCTATCCGGAAGGTCGGCGACGCACGGTACTTTGGACACTTTGTTTACCATAGGAACTTAGAAATTGTTTGTTCTGTCATTTGGTACTTCAAGCATATATGTACTTAAACGATCCCTCCGGAAGGTTACCGACGGACTTGACTCTCTCTATGTAACATTAGATAAATTAATTTGACTTCCAGGTACAGATGAAAGACTCGAATTATCTACAACTTTAATTTAAAAGTTATCAAGGGAAACATTTTTAGTATCAAGGGAAACATAGTCTTAAAGGTTCAATATAAGTCACTTGATTACAGGACTCATCAAAATTCTTTCCTGAAGATGATAGATTCAAAAGTCAGTCATCATTATAGCACTCTCTCGTTGCCATGAAACTGAGTTTGTACAAGATATGTTCTACACACTCCTCACCGCAATTTTTTCCCACGAGTCTAGCGCATTCACCAGTGTATACCACTGTTCACTAAATGCGGTTTAAGTGCGTTCACCTAGTCCCATTCTCCAAATATAGACGTTTATGAAGTGGACACCTTAGAAAGTCCACTCAAAGAGTCATTGGAAAAACATCGACAAATAATTTGGTTTCAGGAGAGTCTACCACCGTCGAACTCGCGAGAGGAGTCTCAGGAGCGACGTCGAAAGAGGAGTTCACGAGAGAGCGACTCTCGAGAGAGGCTGACAGAGAGGTATCCGGAAAACGCGGCGCTAGAGCTGAGCTCCAGCATCGCCGACTGTTGTTGCATAGGTCCACGTTCGCGTCTGCCGTTGCCGAGGATCCCACCAGGGTCGACAGGGTCGAGCACGACGACGTCGTCGTCGTCGACGTACGGTGTCGGCGGAGGAGGAGGTGTAGGTGGAGTTGGAGGTGGCGGTGGAGGAGTAGGTGGACAGGCTCCTTTTCCTGGGCCTCCCACGTCTTCGAACAGCCGCGTTGTCGGCGTGGAACAGCCGGTGACGCTGACGACGCCAACGACGTCGGCGCAACCGTTGGTGAACTCTAATAATAACCGAGGGATGCTGCAAACGTCGTCGGTGGGGAACAGCACTGGCCAGCACCATCAACCACAATCGTCCGCAGCTCTAACGGCGGCGGTACCGTCGTCTTCATCGCCATCCTCCTCGACGTCGTTCAGCGTATCCACCGCCGTCCCGACGCTGCAGTCCGTCTCGGTGCCGCGGCAGCTAGCACAGTGGACCAAGCATCAGACGCTGAAGCTGCAGGTATTTTCGAGCCGTCCGCTTTTGACGTCGGTTGTCGTTCGATCCGATCGCGATCGTTAATCCGATCGGTCGTCAGGGACCAGCACCGACGGTTTGCGTACACTGTGATACGAGTTAATTTCGATCGATCCGGGTAATCGAGTTCTTTTTGGAAGATATTTTTGGTGATACGTGGATGGAGGAATGCCTCGGAGGCCGTAGAAAAACTGTTGTGATTTCGTAAGAGTGAGCTGGTTCGTAGGAATTTGGGACGAAGTGTCTTCGACCTGGGACGCTTTGTGTCAAAGCTCGAGAGGTGGCTCACAAGGTGGTGGTAGGGACGTAGTATTTTTAATGGCTGAAGATATGGAACTTCAAGGTGAAAGGTTCCGTGGACGCTGATTTAAACGTTCTGTCGAGGGGACGATTTCCTACCTAAATAAATCGTTTCCGTCGATCTCTATACTGCCTACGATTCGTTAAACGCACACTTTTTATACCATATCTCGAAACGTATCGACGAACAATCAGCAAAACTGAATTTGACAATTCTCAAGTTCCCCTGGACGAGGCATTGCATCAATTCGCAAGCGGTAAGAACGATTCCCTGTCACCTGTTAATTTCCGTCGATGAAATTCTACACGGGTCTTAAACCGGGAGCCGAAAAAGTTTACCGCAGAAAAGTGGCGGGTCTAGAGAATCGAAAACTCGTTCATACGATACGTAGGTGTCTAGTCGAAGAACGATATTCTATTTTGGTCGTCATCTGTCTTTTCCCTCGCGGCAGGCACGAGGCAGCGCACGCTGCGCACCACGGTCGATCCAAAAATTGGTCTGGTCGCAAGTGCACGATTCTAAAGAGTATATCAAAAAAGAAACAAGTAGCCTCAAGTTAAAAGTAGAAGATACTTTTAGACGCTCTTACATGTTCTAAGAAAATGAATTTCAACGGAGGAGATTCTGACGATTCTGGAAATGATATTTCTGTTATTCAGGAACCAGCAGTGATAGCGGTGGACCGATTGCACAGGTTCCGGTGGAGCGGGGGCGGAGGAGGAAGTGGCAAGAAGTCCTCTTCCGGCCCCCGGAGCGATAAGGCCGAGCGCCTTCGAGAGCTCACCGAGAAACTCAAGGGACCAGCACCCGTACCGCCACCAAGAAGACCTTCCAGAATCCAAGCATCCTCTCCACCTCCTAGTGGATATCAACCACCTTCGCCAAGTTATCCCCAGGTAAATATGCAGATGTTAACGCTTTAACCGCTATTTACCCCAAGATGTGTACACAATTATGGTGTCTTGCCACTATAACTTAAACTACCTCTGTATAACACTTTTACTAGAAAGCTACCTTTTGATAAATGAGAACAAAGCTACCTTTTGATGTGATAGTAACAAAGTTTGTTATGATAAATGTTCTTTTAATAAATACACAACGAATATATCATTGCATCCATGGTGGATGAGATTTAATTCCCCGAAAATTCCACATGTGACAGAAGGGAACTCTACCTTGAAATCCCAGGATGTGAATCATATCCTTGTGGAGTCCAGATGTTTCATCAATATTGCAGCTTCATCAAGGTTTCCAAGATGCATTAGTTACGAGCTATGCTGGTTAGCTGCAATGCTGGTGAAATGTCAAATCATAATCCTACAAGGCTTCCTACACCCACAATCTTCAGAGTTCTCATCATAGTTTCAAAGTGCTCCAAAAGATGAATTTATAGAAGTTAGGATATCACTAAAAACATAAACTGTGATATGTAACTGACCATACATCATCTGATCACTGAAGGTCTGTGCTCGTATGCACCTAATCAAAAATTAAAGCAACGATCACACAACTTTGATCACCCACTAAAAGTCTAAGTGTCCACACCATCACAGTCCTCTAAATATTAAACACCTGACCATACAAATTTGATCACGCACTAAAAGTCCAGATGTCCTCACCTAAAGATCCGAAACCCAATGATCGCATAAATTTGCCCACCTACTAAAAGTCTAGATGAAACGCTAGTCGATGAATCTAAAATATTCATTGTAATTTTCAGCCAACGAATCAAGGATGTCGTTGCGATGGTCGACCTTCGTCCCGAAGTTACACGTACAGCGAGGGCAGCGGTCACGGTTCCAGCAATCAGCAGTCTCCGCAGCACCACCTGAAGACGATTGGCCGAAGTGACAGTGTGGGTGACGAGTGTTTGAGTGAGTCGGGTAACGATGGGTGCAAGAAGCCGTGTGCCGACTCGAGGAGATCCTCGCGGTCGACCAGGCAACACGATAGGAACAGTGGTGACGTAAGTGACATCAAACACGAGCTGAACGTCAGTGCGGACGCGACGAAACACCTCAGACAGTATAGTGATTCGGTGGTGGATAGTGGTACGTGTGTGGACGATTTGTGTGACAATTTGAACGCTACATCCGGAGCCGGCAACGACGCTGAAGCCAGAGACGCCATCACCAGGTTGGAGCCGAGGGGACCTCTTCTTACTTTTCACAGAGCTGGCGCGCCGTTCAGAAGCGCTTCGTTCGGACAGGTGGATTTCAATCAAGGTAATTCATTTTTAGATATTTGTTCTCAGAGTTGGAACTTTACTGGTTACAACTTGTACTGATTGAAAAGTTTGATGAATTCTTTTAAAGTTGGTATTGCCTGTTTCATCGTACTGGAATAATAGTTCACATAATTCTCTGGAAGCATATGTGAAATGCACCCATGTGTTGAGTCTGAGGTTTTCTGTATGCATTAGTTGATAACTTTCAAACGTACTATTTGTTCACCCTATTCATACTTGCATGAAACGGAATTTTCTATGCAAATTCTGCCACATTTCGTACATTGACAAAGCTAGCCTTCATGTGAATCAGTCTATGCAAACATTCCTGACGAAAGTTCTCCAAAATTCTGTTCCCTCGGGCTTCATGAATCTGTTGTGCAAATTTGGTTAACGATCAAAGCGGCTACTTAGTTTCAAATATACCGCATTATACCAATAAGATTTGCGATTCTGCATTGTTCAAAAATTACAACTGTTCTCGAGTAATTTTATTATTCTAATAAATTTTTATCTGATTCGTTTGAAACAAGCACGTGTTAGTATTATACATTAGCATTAGACACCTTTGACTTCGCATGATTTGTCTCCGGTCCCATTTGCAACGAGGAAGCCGCATTCACGCAATCATTGATTTACAGTTACGATGCGTTCGCTAATTCGGTATGCAATTATCGTATCCATCGTCGCAGATGATTATAATCGAAACGAAACGGTAGAATCTAGCGGGCATTTGAATGGGCGTTGCATTGGGAGCAGAAGCGACCGTAAGAACAGTTACTCCAAAGCATTCATTGTATGTACTTTGTTTCCGTGTTTATCTTTTCGGGTCTTCACCTGCTCGGAACTGGTTCTACTAGTCACTCTCCGTAAAAGGTATTGCTTTGCTTCCTCCTCGCTCCTTATTGCGATTCGTTCGGAGGATTACGTTTAGTCCTTGCATTTATTCTTTGCGACGAAGTACTTCTAATTATGACAACATTTTTAATTACCACACCGCGTTGTTTCTGGAGAATTAGGTACAAGATTTACTTTTTCACAAGGCACACTATTAATTTTCTAAAATTTTCAAGTTGCAATGACTCGAAGTTTCGAAGTTCAAAATGTGTTGCAAAAATGGTCGAAATTACGAAGTTTCAAAATGTACTGAAGTCTCAAGGTTTCAAAACTCTGAAATCTCGAAGTGGTCTCAAGTTCGAAAATTCCATTGGTTCAAAATTACAGTATCGCAAAATTTCAAGAATTTATTCCAATGTTCTGAGACTCTAAAATCTCGAAGTACAAATTTAGAAGTTCAAAATCTTGAATGACCAAGGTTCAAACATTTCATTATCTCAAAATTCTAAGACTTCGAAGTCCCAAAGTCTCCAAAGCTATCAAATTGCAAATTTCTTCAGTTCCTAGGCTCTATAGTCTCCAAAGTTCCCAAGTAGTCCTAAACTCTCCAAAGTCCCCAGTATCCAACTCCTAAACTCTTCAAAGTTCCCAAATTCCAAATTACTGAAAAACTCCCAAGTTCCTAAGTACCCAAGTCTAAATTCCAAAGTTCTTAAATACTACCAAAGTTTCGCAAACCACATCTTCACCGTCAATATATGAAAGTCTTTCATTAACAAATTCGACTGTCTAATTTTAGTCCATGCATCGTGCACGTTCGTAGGTCTGGGTCGCGATTATCCCGGTCACAGTCGTTCGAGGATTAAAGTAAACTGCTGATGTTCCCAAGAGTCGTTGCATAACCGATCCACGATACTATTAAAGATTCGATAAATAATCCACGTGTCGGATAAACGCGGAAATTTGGAAGGAAAAACATTGTCAATTAATTATATGATTTGTATACGGTCGTCGTGTACTTGTAAATATTGGCCAGCAGTCGGGTCTTTCTCGCTAGAATGCAGACTCTGGCGGCATGGCGGTTCGCCAAATAAACACTACCCATTATGTCTATTATTACATTCATGTAGGTGTCGGTTTGTATAGCTATGGATAGGGACAATCTAAACTGTGACAGCTACTGGGTGAATCGTATCGCGAAATTTTTCCGTGTTTGTTATTCTTTCTTCCCCATCTTTAAAGCCCCATCTTCCCCATTTTCAAACTTTCATGCGTGTTCCAAACTCGTTGTAGTGTTTCGAATTCCAGACCAATAATTTTCGACAGTACCCAGCTCGAAAGTTTGAATATATCAATCGTAAGCCCGTTGAGATTTATTTCCATCGAACATTTTCTTTTGTCGCACGATAAAATTGAAGCGTAGGCTCTTGTAGAACAGGGAACCAAGGTAATCGTATAGCCTTCCATAGTTTACGACGTCGAAAATAACGATCCTGAGGATCACGGGATTCTTCAATTCCGCCTTTTAAACGACCACGTAACATTGACTTTCCGGCTAGGTGTATAGTTACAACCCTGAACTACATACCGACCAGCTTCGATTTCATAATAAAGGAGTGGAAATAAGAGAGATATTAGAGAACCTTCTGCAGGGTTTGTCTCGCTAGACTGACCTTAAGGATAATGCATTTTATGTCCCTGGCCTGAATAGCACTGTGATCCTTGAGTAATTATTAATTCCTGTCGCACCTGTAACTGGAGATGAGGATCAAGTGGGATGCAAATAGGGTTTGATTTGAAGCATGGGGAGAGGCTAGGAAATTTTAAGGACTAGGATAAAGAATCTATCAGGGATCTTGAAGTGAACATATTTTTGTATAATTTAATAAATAAATTTTTACTTAAATAAAATAAATTTAGACCTCCTATGGCACATACCCTTTCAATCATTGTGAGAATATTTTCTGTTATTATAAAAATAATTTTCAGTTATAAAATTAAGTTATAAAATAGAGACTTTCGCTAAATCAGTAATTGATGAGTCGAACAAAATTATCAGCTGTATATCTGAATATTATCAGCAACAAAATTATTAGTTTTGCATTAAATGAGCCGCGAAGGGTCGAGGTAATGCTGAACAGGACATAAATGTATTTTTATGTATGAATCAGACTCGATAAAGCGGCGTTAAGTCGAATAGAAATATTTGTTTTAAAAAATCTAAAAATATTTAGCGAAAAAGGATTGATACATTACAGAAGCATGCTACTTTTTCAACATCCATGTTATAAACATTGTACATGCAATACGTCCGGTTTGAATGTACACAAGCAATTATTTTTGAAACCATCGAAAACACAAAACGGTTGTTTGATTTGAGGAGGAAAAATGTAATGTTAGATTTGAACGCTTCTTCACCGGATTGTAGATTTCAATATCAACTTATTTTTACTTCTCGTTGTATAATCAACGATGCATTTAACAAGGCAAATAAAGTGTTGTATGCTTTCAACTAACGTCTATCTTATTTATCAGTGTCGTATCAGTTTGAAGAGCTGACATCGATGCTCGTAATTTTGCAGGTTTGAACAAGATAGCCTACTTTTATGTAAATTAATGTGGAAGGAAATATGACTGTAGATCTTAGTGGTCGAAATGTTTGGACATAATGGTTGGTCCACGGCAACCATATTATGCTTTTCATATTTTATATTTCATAGTTCATACTTCTATTTTTTTATGAGAGATGATGATTCATTTTTATGTTTTGCAAATTTATTACTTTTATATTGTAGCTGTATATGTAACTTTTTGAACTGTACCTTGTCAGTATGTCCGATTACTACATTTAATATACTGTATATTAATCACAATTAACATACAATGAACGTCCACCGCACAAGTGTAAATACAATTATGTGAATAAATTCAATCAATCGAGAAATTAAAAATATTAGATATATCTATGTATCAATAGTGTTCGTTACATTATAATGAACGTAATGAGTCTGTCTCGAAGATTGACGGAAATATCTACGGTAATTTCCACCAGACTGTATTTTTTCCACGGAGTCGGTTGCTTAGGAGCCAAAATTGTGTCCGTGAGACGAGAACAGAGGGAGATACATAGAATGAGAGAAAAAAAAAGAAGCGAGAAAGGGGACGCCGATTTCTCAATGTGTAACAAGGCCGAAGGCGTGAAACGCGACGAATCGCGTGCGTGGCGCAAGCCGGAAACGCTTCGCGGCTAACGCGCCAACAAATCTCTCGCGAGACACCTTTTACGCTCGGAAGACGGTTTACGAGGACGTATAACTAGGTATCTTCTGAAATACAGCTGCTATCTACGGTTCCTCAACTATTAACCGCGAGAGGATGCCATTGGCGTTTTTGGCGGGAAAAAGAGATACGGAGAAAGCACAGGAAACCCCGATTACCGATAATCAAATTCATAAACCATCTTAAGAGCATTCTACTTCCATAAATTACATGTTAATTATTTTCCAATTTTTTACACACAGACTAATCTGATTTTTGGTAATTTGTTTTTAGATATCTTTCGCTATTTCAATTTTTTATGTAACGACGCGAACGAAAATATTCGTACGAGATGAAAATCTGAAAAAGCGTTTGACGTTGATAGAACGTTTGCGGCTGACGTTGATAGAACGTACTCCAATAATGAAATATTAAACTAGAAATTCTGCATTGATATAAAAATAATTCTCTACGAAAAATAAAAAGTGATTGTTTTAAAAAAAGAATGATTTGACTTTATATACATTTCTCATGAGAGATACATGCTTTTTAATATAACCACTTGTGCAGAGTTAATGACATCTACTTTATGCTACATTCTTAATTGCACAATTACGTATGCACAGTTTCCAGAGCGTTTTTTCTCTCATTCATATTTATACGACTGCAGAGTCTTTTCTTTACTAAGCTGCGAACTAAATGAACGGATGTGTGTTTTATCGCGTAGGATTTACATAGCGGTTAATTTGACGTTTAATTATTGAGAACATAATTACAGGGAGATGTTACGCGGAATTCGTGATAATCGTGCTTGATGATTTAACGCGTCTTCGTCGTAATTATCAACAGTGTGGTGCTTGTTTCAAGGAATTTCTGGCTCTCTTCACTTATCGTAAACGAAAATTTTGCTCTCGTGTTTCGCGCGAAGAAATTCAACAACTTTTGCGAAACTTTTCGTGGTATAGTGTAACGCTTTTACTACACATTTTCAAATATTTTCAACTATAGGAATTTTTACAGTTTAGGAGAGTTTGATGGCTTTAGGAGTTTGGAATTTTGGTACTTTAGCTTGGTACTTTAGGAATTTTGGTTACTTTTATTAACACATTGCTCATGTGTAAATGCATATGCATATGCGTCTGTATATGTATGCGTGTATGAGTATGTATATGTATGCGTGTATGAGTATGTATATGTGTATGTATATGTGTATGTATATGTGTATGTATATGTGTATGTATATGTGTATGCATATGTGTATGCATATATGTATGATATGTGTATGATATGTGTATGTATATGCATATGATACACGTGTGACACATGTGTGATACGTGTATGATATGTATCTGTATATGTGTATGTATATGTGTATGCATATGTGTATGCATATATGTATGATATGTGTATGATATGTGTATGTATATGCATATGATACACGTGTGACACATGTGTATATGTGTATGTATATGTGTATGTATATGTGTATGTATATGTGTATGATACGTGTATGTATATGGATATGTATATGCATGTATGTATGTATGTACACGTATGTATATGTATATGCATATGTGTATGCATGTACATGTATATGCATGTATATGTGTGTGTACTAATTTAAACAATCCTGTTAAATGTTAACCTCCCCCCAAGAACCTCATTTACTGCAAATTGCAGAAATGTTTATCTCCAGAAAATCTTGCAGAAGGTTAAAAGAAATGGAAAAGAAAGAGCATAAAGGGACAAAGTTCGCCTCTTAATCGGTCGCTCTCTTTGCCGGAATTCGGCCAAGTCGACGAGCTGACGGCTCGAGAGTCGTCACCGAGATTTTCGTTCCCGTTCCCACTCGTATACTCTGTTTGTTATTATTGGAATGGTCCACCTCCTCGTGTTGAGAGTGCTGCCAAATTTACCTGACACTCGAGGAGGTAATTAGAACTTGCTCTCTCTTTCTTTCGCTATCTCGTTCTAGCGATGGCCTCGTGGCAAGAACGTTCGAGCTGCTATTAAAAATCGTTGACGTCCATTTCTCCGGGAACACGCGGACTCCACGAGTGTGTATTTTCTTTCCACGTTTCGCGGTATTCCATGCTTGATAGGCAGTTCGATTAAAAATTCTTCGTGATGGGGGATGTTTGGAAACGATAGATTTCACGGAAGTTTATTTTCGATCATCCTCTGTTTTTTTTATTTCGCTGAAGAAGGTTTGCTCTCAGAAAAATATAATTGATCAATTAAAAGGTATCTATCACAGATAATACCGATTGTCATTTAGTTTCTGTTGTACTCGTTTGCACGACATAAGATCTTTATTCGAGAAACCATGGTTTGTGTATAATAAAAAATATGATCGACTTTTATTCTGTTTCTAGTAGCTCGAAAATCTTAGAAAAATAAATATACTTCCTGAGTACGGTGTCTGTTGTTTAATTTTCTGCCACAGTATGTATGAATAACAAGTGTAATTTAGGTATCGGAGAGCGCAGTCTTTAAACTTTGCATAATTAAACCGGGAGTTTGAATGTCACGAATCGTGAAGACCACAATCTTTAACATCTAACAAAATTTTTCCCAATTGCATATAGCTATTGAAATGAAAATGTGTATTTGGGTATTACAAGCTGAATATATAAATTGTACGAAAATATATATAATTGCTTAACGTATATAACAATGTGTATGTATACACATGTGTATGTATATTGTACAAGATGTATATCCCGTAAATTGAACTTCTCTATTTCTTATAAAAATAGAACCATGTTATAGTAACACAATTTCACATTTGTTCTATAAATAACAAATTAATATAAAATATCAATTCATTAATATATCAGTATTCACATACAATCATAATGAATATAAGTACATATAAGTAACAATTGTATATGAAAAAGATTTAAGGGTGGTGTACAAATAATAGGATTTTCAATTTTATTTACAAATGATTGAATATGAAATTTATTTATTTATTTGCATGTACATAATGATTATAGCGAATCGACATAAGGCACAGCCAATAGCGACATCGAATCGAAACGAGAGCAAGGATGTCCGTGCAAGCACGTTGCCCCGAAGACGAGGAGACGTCAGTCCAGTTGTCTCGACGCCTCAAAACAGTCCTAATCGTCAAAGTCCGAGAACGTCAACGCCTAGCGTGGACAGTGCGGTCGGTTCAGCGGAAGGTTTGGGCGTACCTCAAACCGGAAATGTCGAGGAGATCCGACCACGAAGCGATGGTTCCGACAGCCTGGCGACTTCCAGTGCTCTCACCAGCCCGGAACCACCGGTTCCTGAGATCAACGAGCCGAGAGTTGATCTGGTGCAAGCCGACGTGCCTTCCGTCGAGATGGTTATGTCCGAGCCCGTTTTTCCTCTTGTGGACACAACTGCGATCGAGGATGTTCTGCAGAAAGGTGAGTTCTTGTTGAACATTGATCTTTTTGCATGATCGGGTGTGTTGGGGATTTGGGGCTTTTTTGGGGTGGAAATGAGTTCTTTGTAGAGTTTTGGCAATTTGGGGACTTTGGAGGATTTGGGGTATTTATGAAATTTGGAGAATTCAGGAAATTTAGGGAATTTAGGGAATTTAGAGTGTTTGGGGAATTTGGAGGATTTGAAGAATTTGGAGGATTTGGTGCGTAGGGAACTTTAAGGCGAAAAAGTGATCGAGCCTTGAAATTTTGGAGCTCTCAGGTTTTAGGCACTGCAAATTTTCTAATTTTTCTAACTTAGAATTTTGAGATTTTTGAATTTTTGGGATTTTTGAAATTTTTTGAATTTTTGGAATTTATGCATTTTAGAACTTAAACCTTTGAAGGTGGAAGTCAACAGAATTTGAGATTCTGGGACGTCAGAATTTTGGAATTTTTAAGTCTTGAAACGTCAGCACCTTGGAATCATAAAATTCCAGAATCTTAGGAATTTTAATATTTTGGTATTTTAGGGTCTTGAAGTTTTGAAATTTTTAAGTCAAAATTAAGTAGATTAAAAAACAGTCATTGTTACAGCAAATCTCGGTGTATAAATGTATTGAGTACCATAAGTTATAGTATGAACCACAGTTTCAGTATGTCTGCCTACTATCCATTTCTACTGCTGTAGAATCACACATCAAATACTACTAGTGAAAACAACCGTAGTAAGACAATTGCAACTCCACATTCCGAACATCATCATCAATGCCAAACTACAAAAAATTAACTGTATTCTTAAATGTATTCTACTCCTTCAATTACGTTTAACTTATGATGCAGCACATTCTCCCAATGAATCCGAAGAATCCATTAATCTTATTTATACATTCTTATGACTGTCACCACGATTTTACAATCTTGCTATACCACTATATCAAAGTAACTCGAACAAGTCAGATGTATCAAACTGTTTCGCAAGATATTTTATGATTTTAATTAAACGCCTTTCAGTAAACTTTTAGTGGAGCAAGAGAATAACACGAATAATAAATAATCTGAACTTCATAGTAGTTCGAGCTGATGTATCCTACGGATTTACAACGCACATTTCGAATTTCTAGGTCAGATTTCTTCCAAGAAATGTATACCTAAAGCCGTGTATAAAAATAAACTTTTTTCCTTCTCACTGTCCAGTTGCAAACGTCCGAGAAAAAGCTATTACGTTAAACGTTAGACATCATTCCTAATCTTAAAGTGTTCCAAAATGAACACACACAAGTATTCTTAACTACCTCTGGCCAGGAACTAACTACTTGTTTTGAGGAGAAGAGAATTCGTAGGATTTTAATTAAAAGAGATACATCACTGGAGACATAAAGAATACCCAACTCAAAGTTTCCTCAAAGTTTTCTCAAATTTATTCAATTGCAATTTTCAGACATTCACAAAGAAATGATTAAAGTAACTTCTCACAGTTTTGTTCCTCTAACAAATTAATTGCACAACGAAATCAAATAATGTATCCTTGACATAAAACGCAACAGTCCAATTTCGAGAGGAAATGGCTGATCCGGAAACAGCTGAATCGGCAGGTTCCTCTTCCACGTAGCTGTCACTCGGGTGATTTCGTCGTTAGAAATTGGCAACATAATGTCACAAACTCGGACATCGTCAGCTTGTAATCTCAATTTAATGACTTAGCCGGTGCCAGAATCGCACCTTCCGTGTCCTCCTTTCTCGTCCCGTCGACACGCGGTTCGACATGTGTCTGGTCCGCAAAACGCTTATCGGTTTTTGCATCTTAACGGACCGTTTTGCTACGTGGTCAAAAGATTCAACGACCTCTTAATTATCGGATACTCCGTTGACACGTTTATCGAGGCATCGACTGGCAAGGATTAGGAATCGCTCGTTGAAAGTTAGCTCGACCGGTTGATGTATTAGCGTGGAATCGAAGCGGACAAGCGGCCAAATAATTTCGCCTGTCCACCCCTAGAACCGCGAGAAGGGCAGGGAAAGAAGGACTATTTTTGGTGCATTGACAAGGAGTACCGGGTACAAAGGTGCACCCGTGTTTCCACTTTATTTCGCGTGCCTCTATTTTCGGAACGCTCTGTGCCAGGGTTGAAATAGAAATTTCAACGTCATCGTTAACCATCTTCATTGATGACTTCACCCGTTCACTACTCTATGGAGTTCCTAATCACCATTCCCTAATCATCTGTTCACCATATCTTCAGCAATAAATAGGTCCATCAGAACTGCTATATTCTTATCATTGTCCTTCGTTATCTTCGCGAATGCAAAGTTAGTAAAGATCATGTAAAATTAACAGAATTTCCATAAGAAATTTCTTTAAGAAAATAGCATTTTCATAAGAAACTTGTTTATTGAATCTTGGAATCTTAGATGGAATCTTAGTAAAAAATCCAGAGGTTCAATCGATAACCAAAGTAAATGTCAAGCTGATCCTATTCTCTTTGAATACAAAGTTTCTATACAAATTTCCGCATACATAGTATATTCAACTGGATTGAAATGTAACGTTAAGATAAAATTGCTCGCAGAAAACAGAATGGAGCCCCACGAGGTGATAATAACGCCGCCACCCGAGGAGCCACGACTGAGTCAAACGTTAGAGGGTAGCGAGACAGCGAGCGAAGCACCCTCGGAATCGTCCTCTCCGGGTAAAACGCGAAGGTATCGAGGCGATACTAGCAAGAGAAGAAAGGGTGTGTATATAACTCAATGGCCGGAGCCCTTGGACAGCGACCGGAACAAATTGTCGGCTCAGAGCAGCGAGGAAAGAGACGAGCCACCTGCGACGCCCAGCGACCTCTCTGACTGTGAGGGCCACACGCCTAGAAGGTAACACGAGAACACCGGTGATATATCGGAATAGAATGCAAATAGACCCACAGCGGATTTAAGAGACTGTGTTTCCGGTATATCCTTTGTCTTGAAGTATAATTTCAGTGTCAGCTTTGTATTGCGGTTATATTGTTATATTTGATATTGTTAACAGCATCTAAACAGCATTCGATTTCAATACATTCTGATAATTATATATATATATATTATATATTATAATATACATACATATAATACATAGATAATTGTATGTATGTATGTACATAATTATCCGTATGTAGTTCACAAATATGATGAGTAGATTATGAACGTGTTTATGTCGATCAGTTGTGCAGTTAGATAATTCTTATTGCCGAATTCTTCATATCAATTACGATGCTATAAACGTAATATCATTCGAAGATTATCTCATCATCTAAAATTATAGATGATACTGAAACTATGGACATGACAGGATGAAATGTAACTCCTGCTACATGACACATGATTACATATGCAAATCTTTATTAGTACATTTATTTAATACAGTAGTCGATCGACACATTTTATGTTCATTAATTTGCGTGACTACTATACTGTTATTTGAAAGTATAATTAGAACGCATTGCACTTCCATGTCGATCTATGCCGTTAAATTGACAATCTTAATGAGATAATGAGAGTGATGATAGACTACGATGCTTATCTGTTCAGGTATAGTAAAAGACCGCTACGAGGCCCCTACGGGCAAATGCTCGAGGCAGAAATGGCGAAGCCGCGAACGACGGATATCGCTTTGGAGGAAGGTCTTCGTCCGCATAGAAAAATTTCTGCGAATCTGTCGTATAACACAAGCTCGAATAACAGCAGTTCAGAACCGCCCACGCCATGCCATCACAGAACCACTTCCAGCCCGAGCAAACTCGAAGGCCTTCCGGGACCAAGTCCTGAACTTCTCGCTGAACTACTTCGAGGATCTTCGGAGAGGGTGGCTCGCGCACCGGCGCATCGAAACGTGAGTACTGCTAAATTTCATCTCTGTTACTTTGACGTAAAGGGAAAAGCAATGGGAACTTCAGGGAAATTGAATACTAGTCGAATTTCGAATCGAAATGCATAAACGTTTTTTCAACTGAATGGCCTTCTTTGAACGTATTTTATCTACGGAGTTCTTTTCTGAAGTAACATAAAAAAATGATACGTGAAAGGTACATCCTTTGTATATTACACCAGTCTGAGAGGTATATGACGTTTTGAGGTTCTTAGAAGGTCTTACCCTAGATATGACGTTATTACAGGTTCTGCGAATATTTTTCAGGAATATTAATTTATTTATAAAATTAGTGGTTGATGTTTTATATTTCTGTACAGTCTAATAAACGTATAACGTTTTACTTATTAAACTGCATACCAAGGGTTCGTAAAAATACAAAGCTCTTGTCGATAACTGAATAATTACAGTATGATGGTAATTGTCGATGCGCAAAAATGCCATGATTCCATCGATGAAATAAGCGTTACCATTCGGATAGTAGAAACGGAAGCGTACTATTAAAGATTGTAGCAAACATGTCGGCAAGATGTTTTTACGAGCTGTAAATTGTTAATGATACTACGAACAGATGCTGAACACGTAACAGAACGGGGACATTAATCTATGGGTTTCAAGGAAATGGTTGTATTTCGATAAAATTTTTAATAAGACGCTAAAAAGACTTAAACACCCCTATTATTCAATGACAGACGACTGGAATTACTGTACTTCGTCAGAAGATATATTTCGTGCAATAATGCAAATGGCTATAATTTACGATAGTTCACGTGGAAAGAATTTAATACGGTTTTACGATTGTTAATCACGTTTCGCGCGAAGCATAGTCACGAACGAGACGGCGATGTAATGACGAGCTAATCGTCGGATCGATTAACGAGCGAACAGCAGCAAAAACAAAAGGGAAGAAGCCAATGCTCTCGAGCCGAGTCAAGAACATCTCGATTGATCTTATCGTTGCATCGTATCTCTGGCGGCCTCTTCGACGATCTTCCACGACGCTTGTAACATCTGGCGACGAATTTCAAACGGGATATGTTCCTCGGATATCGATTCACGAGTTCTTTTATTCTCAATCGGTACAAAATAGGAATAGTTGCAACGTGAGGTCCTAGTTTATTCTCATGTTGATTAGACATAGCCATGTCTGATACAACATAGGATAGTGTATAATCTTTATTAGTCCACTTCTTTTTTTCACTCTTCATTTAACAATTAAGTGGTGTCGTGCACCCCAAAATGGTACCTTGAGTGGTACGAAAATAGCACATCGTGTTGGAATACATTTTAATTGCTGCAAGTAGTTCTATCATTCAGAAATGAATTTCTGAAAGTGTCGAATGTTTTGAACTCACTGAGGCGATTTAACCTATGAGGTTACACTTGTGATTAAATTACATTTAACCCTTTGAGATAGCTGCAGTAGTAAAACACAATTGAAATCATAAAATATTAAGGAAGCTTGTTAATTTTAACACAAAGGGTGTTCTATGGAACCTACCCTTATAGCTATCACCCTTAAAGTTATATTATTATGCATTTTTACTTGGTTATAGCAATTGGTATATTTGTTCGGAATAGACTGAAATCACTCATCCTTAGTAGAATATAATCTTGCACCTAGATATAGTTGCACCTACATATTACACTGTATCTTCACATGCACTAAACTTCAGAGTAAAGGAATTTACATGAGAGAATTACATCCAGACACAGGAAGATGACTTCTGAGAAGCGATTAATCGATACATAGCAAGAAGTAAGAAGTAACAGCTTTACAACATCAGATTCCTACGCGTGTTTCGGTGCTTATTTTTATCAGCGGTTTGATACTGGGGAATCACCGAAATAAAGAAGCGAGCTGTCCCCGGAGTCGTCATTCGAGATGCACGACTCCAGACTAGCGGCGAAAACGTAATCTAATAATAATGTTGTTCGCTCATATTTCTGGGATGAGTTCGCGGTTTGGCCAGTGCACTCGAGGTTAGCATAGTGTCCCCTTGATTCTGGCACGGCGGGGGCGTCGACGAGGATATTCCTGGCCTTAGTGTGTACCTGGGGACCGATCGGCCTCTACCGATGCGAACGGAATCTGCCGGCTACCGTTGTCGCGAGCATTTTTACGCAAGCCGACCTTGCTCGATGATACATCGATAGGCTGGTCAACGCGGTACCGCACGAAATTTGAGATTTACGGCAAAACGCGAGGATGTAAATTTAAATGTATTGTAACGACTGATTGTTGAGAAAAATCGGATTTATGGAAATAAAGGAAAACGGTTTTCCGTGATGATTTGTTATCGAGGAAACTCGTGACTTTCCTTCAGACTTGGAGTTTCAAATAGTATGGTGCTACAAGTTTTCTTTAGATGTGCCTCGAAGAAAGCTCCAAGTAGCCCAAAAATATCTCGTTAATAATTCTTTGAACCGTTTTTAAACTGGATCAGTGGTTCTCAAGCTACCTGAAGTTTTATCGCCCGAAAGTTTATTTTCACTGTTAAGAAACACATATACAACACTTAAGTTGGAACGAAAGTTACGTTTAAAATTAAGTAAAATAAAACTAAATGCACAGAGACTATAAAACTAGCATAAATGCTGAATTAAATTAAGCTATAATTTATTAATCTTACATGTTATTTCGTGTAATAAGTAAAATCAAATTTCATGAAATTTATAAACATCTTTAGTTTCTATATAGAATAATATCCTTGATGTAGAATTGGTTAATTTTAGTATTGGTACGCATTTATGAAAATGTCACCGAATTAGATTATTTGTTTAAAACTACTGGGTTAGATATACAATGTAGAACAAGGATTTAAACATCGACAATTCTGTCAATTGTGGTGTTCAGACATATTGACACATGTCGATCCAATCGATGATTTCTATCCCAACCAATTATAAAAGGAAATTCGAAATTCTATTATTACACTTTATACGTTCCTTTCTGAATTTCTGTGTATTAAAGTGATCTACATATTTCCTTTAAGCATACAAGAATTACCACTTCAGAGGAAAATGTAGACTTCAAACGTCAAAAAGGTTTCATTAAACTGAGCATAGCATACCATGTTGCATAAAAATTAATGAGGTCTGAGCTCTGCAAGGGACAAAATTCAGTATCTTGCTTTTTAAATAACTCCATATTTTTGTCTAGGATTTATTTAAATCTAAAATATCTTCTCTGTTTCTTTTCTAAGCGAAACACGAAAGACGCATCGAAATCGAGTTGTGTCTAAGATTGTGTACATAATTGAAACCACTCCAATTGCATCTAACTTTGTATCGCGTCCCGGCTATCTTTAGCCGATGTGTATTTCGTTTTAAATCGTCGACGGACACAGTGAAAGTCAGCCTACGTTGCTTTCTAAGGTTTCGTTACTTTTGCTGGTAATCGTGGCACTTCGACGAGACTTTCACAAGTCTGCGTAGACAATGAAGAGGAAACGGATTAATTTGCGGTTTAGGCAAACCAACGATCACTCACTTTTCCTTTGCGTATGGAGAAATAACGCGTGAATACGTAACATATGAGGACTCGGTGCATGATGATTCAACGCGTTGTGATTTGATGCACGGTATAGTGGCACGTGGCGATACAGCGCGTGGCTATACGACGCGTGGTTCTAAAATGGGAGGGGTTACGACGCGTGGCATTATTACATATGCGAGTACGCGTAGAAATTCGACCAATAGAAAATGGACGTGTTGAAAATGCTAAAACTGAGGAAATATGTAAATCACTTTAATACACAAAAAACATAACGTACAAATTCAATGTATGGATATTTGACACTAGAACTACTGACATTAAATCCTCGTTTATCAAAGAATGAAAAGGGAAATAAATACTAAAGCATCAAGTAATATATAGAATTAGTTTTTACCTCAACAAAATATGAGACATTTCCATAAAATCACAGCAATAAAATTTTGTAATAAAAAATGAAAAATCTGAAACCAGTTCATTTGACTGGTTGGTAGTTCTAGTGTTAATTCGGGGAAATATGGCGCAGGGAGGTACAACGCGTAGAACTACGGCGCGTGGAAATAAGGTGTGTAGATATCCATCGTATAGAAACTACAATGTGTAGAAATCTTATGGAGGGATATATGCCACGTGGGAGTGCGACGCGTGGAATTATGGTATGTGAGGATACGACGCGTAGAAATCCGTCGCGTAAAAATTACAATTCGCAGATATCTAACGCGTGGAAGTACAACGCGTGGAATTAGAGCGTGTGGAAATATGGCGCGTAGAAATCTATCGTGTGGAAGTTACAACGAGTGAAAATCACAGCAGGTAGAAATCCAAGCGCGTGGAAATATTGTGTGTGGGAGTACAACGCGTAGAATTATGGTGTGTGGAAATTGCAATGAGTAGAAATCTATCGCGTGGAAATTATAATGAGTGGAAATCCATCGTGTAGAAATTCAATGCGTAGAAATTACAATGAGTGGAAATCCATCGCGTAGAAATTCATTGTGTAGAAATTACAATGAGTGGAAATCCATCGCGTAGAAATTCATTGTGTAAAAATTACAATGAGTGGAAATCCATCGCGTAGAAATTCATTGTGTAGAAATTACAATGAGTGGAAATCCATCGCGTAGAAATTCAATGCGCAGAAGTCTAACGTGTAGATATCCAACGCGTAGAAGTCCAACGTGTAGATATCCAACGTGTAGGTATCCAACGATTGAAATTCCAATACGCACAGCTCTAACGCGTGCAAATGCAACGCATAGTGATCTATCATTCGATAAAACCATGTGCAGCACTGCATGCCAGTACAGCACGTGATGGTACAACGCAGGGTGATTTAACACGTGGCAATAGAACGCATAGCGAATGTATCGAGTTGTTTCGGAGCATTTACGCGAAAAAGTATTTTAACGCAAACACTGCGCAACGCGGATGAGAATTTTTAGATTGTCACGTTACGAGAGGAGGAAAA